GTTACAATTTCATTTTGGAAAGGAACGGAACCAGTGTTAAACAGAGGTGAACAGTGGTGAACAGTGCTTAAGTCAGTGAGAACAACTCAACAATAACAGTCGTACCCAAGTTAACCTTCACACAGTGAGGTCCCAGGTACCCAGTGATAACGGCCCTTGAGACCCAACAACAACCAGCGATGTGTTAATCCGTCTACGATAGGAAGGCGTAAGACCACACCTCACTCCTATAACACCATCTGTGAGGGAATTACTACACCACATGTCCCTCATAACACCATATGTGAGGGAATTACTACACCACGTCAAGTCCCTCATAACACCATCTGTGAGGGAATTGCTACACCACGTGAGGTCCCTCATAACACCATCTGTGAAGGAATTACTACACCACGTCAGGCCCCTCATAACACCATCTGTGAGGGAATTACTACACCACGTGATGCCCCTCATAACACCATCTGTGAGGGAGTTACTACACCACGTGAGGCCCCTCATAACACCATCTGTGAGGTAACTACTACACCACGTGAGGTCCCTTATAACACCATCTGTGAGGTAATTACTACATCACGTGAGGTCCCTCATAACACTATCTGTGAGGGTTTTACTACACCACGTGAGGCCCCTCATAACACCATCTGCGAGGGAATTACTACACCACGCTAGGTCCCTCATAACACCATCTGAGGGAACTACTACACCACGTGAGTTCCTCCTAACACCATCTGGGAGGGAGTTACTACACTACGAGTTTGCTGTTCAACACCTACATTAATCTGCATGTTCACTGTATGTTCCTTTACCTTTCTCTAATGAAGGCTTTTGTTAAACCACCAATGTATGTAATAAGTCATTTCTGTCCAATGTATATTTTCAGCCATCGGGCTGCAGAACTTTTTCAATAAACCGTTAATTATTATTTTTATTAAGCCGCAAGCTCAGAAAATTGTAAGGGGTACCTTTTTCGGAGTGAGAGTTGTGAACTCTTGGAACAATCTGCCAGAGTGTTGATGACAATAGCCATCGTATCATTTTCATCAGCATACATTTTTACTTTTATCCTCTTCACCACTGATCAGCTCGTTAGCCGCTTAACTGGGCGATCGGTCACGTCTCTGTATGCGCACTGTTGGCGAGTACTGCTTTTTTTTTTTACCTTTTCTTTTATCCTCTTCACCACTGATCGGCTCGTTAGCCGATTGGGCGATTGGTCACGTCTCTGTTACGCACTGTTAGCAAGTACTGGGCATGCACCGGCTCCTGAATGTACCTGAACCCGCTCCAGTTGAAAGCGCTCACATTCGGTGCCGTTACAACACTTTCTGGTAGATTGTTCCAAGAGTCCACAACTCTTACTCCGAAAAAGTTTGCCCTCACAGTTTTCTGGACCTGTGGCTTCTTCAATCTTGAGCTGTGACCCATTGTGAGGCGAGCGTCCGCCAGCTCCAAGTAAGGACACTCGACTGAGTAGTGCCCCTTGAGATGCTTATACACCTCAATTAGGTCACCCCTTGCCCGTCTGTAGTATAAGCTAGGCAAGTTCAGGCGCTCCAATCTCTCAGGGTAGTTGAGGTGCCGAAGTGCATATCTCGGGGACCAGGCGGGGTGGCAGTACTCCAGATGGGGAAGCACTTCACTCTTGAAGATCGTTACGAGGAACGGACCGTCTAGATATCTGAACGACCTTCTTATAAGACCCAATAATTTATTTGCCTTATTTACCTTCTTCTCGCAATGGCCCGAGAACTCCAGCTCATTGTCAACATACACATGGGCATGCACTGGCTCCCGAATGTATCTGAACCTGCTCCAGTGCTTATCAAGTCTAGTCTTGAAAGACCTCACACTCGGTGCAGTTAAGAGGCTAACGAGCCGATCAGTGGTGAAGAGTATAAAAATAAAAAAGTATGCTGATGAAAATGATACGATGGCCATTGTCATCAATCATCTACATTTCTAACCACGTTGGCCTGAAACACACAATCATCACTGCTGATCAGCCACTGTACACTGTACAGCAGGGGCAAGGAGTTTGTGGGCTAAACCAGAATTCGAAAACTTCATCTTCATAATGGGAGGCCTACACATCTTGAAAGCCATTGGGGCAACAAGTGAAGAATGCTGGTCTCAATGATTTGTGGACTGAATCCGGTGTGTATGGCACAAATACCACTGAGACCATTATGGAGGGCAAAGCATACCATCAAGTTATCCGGGGTCACAAGCTGATCTATGAAGTGCTTTAGCGTATCCCAATTTTTGAGTCGTGGTTAACGGCAAATGGTCACGCAGACGAGGCCAAATTCAAGCAACCTGCCTTGCAGTTTAGACAGAATGACGGCTCAACACGGCAGTGGACAAGTTGTCACAGTCTCTTAGGTGGTGACAGTCCAAGATATCATGGACGTTATCTGCGCAGTACACAGAGTACCCTAACTACACCTTGTGGTTGACATACATGAAAATGGTGGAGAACTTGTTGGACTTCATCAGGGCAGAGAGGGATGGCAACTGGAACCTGCATCTGGAGGAGCTGCAATCCTACCATGGCTCACAATACATGACCACACAAATTAGCCGACATGAAGAGAATAGAGTAGAAAGCACCAGAAGTTCACACAGAGTTCCCAGAAGGAAACTCTATAATGAAGAAAAGTCAACCGCGTTTCAACCAAGCCACAGAATGGGTGAACAAAACATGCAAGATGCACAATGGCATTATTAACATCACTAGAAACGACCGGGTCAGGGGAAAGTTTTGCATCACATGGCCATCTCCCAGGACACAAGGTGGCCATTTTATTATTATTATTTTTTTCACTTTTACTTTTATCCTCTTCGTCACTAATCGGCTCGTTAGCCGCTTGGGCGATCGGTCACGTCTCTGATACACACTGTTGGCAGATATTGGGCATGCACTGGCTCCTGAATATATCGGAACCTGCTCCAGTGTTGGTAAAGTCTGACCTTGAATGAGCTCACACTTGGTGCCGTCACAACATTCTCCAGCAGATTGTTTCAAGAGTTCACAACTCTCACTCGAAAAAATTACCCTCACAGTTTTCTGGACCAGTGGATTCTTCAAACTTGAGCTGTGATCCCTTGTGGGGCGGACGTCCGCCTGCTCGGTGTGCATTCGACCGAGTAGTGCCCCTGAGATGTTTATACACTTCAATTAGGTCGCCCTAACTGAGGTTCCGTAGAGCAGGCACCGCCCTCCGTTAGACATTTACAATCAATTGACAATCTCTAGCATACCTCGGGGACCAGACGGTGTGACAATATCCCAGACGGGGAAGCACCTCACTCTTGAAGATCATGACGAGCGACGGACCATCCAAAAACGACCTTCTTATAAGATCTACTATATAATTTCGTTGCCTTATTCACCTTCTTCTTACAATGGCCCGATTAGCCCACCAGGGCACAGGTCAATGACACATCAGGGCCTGGGAGCGAAAATATAATAATAGTAGTAATAATAATAATAATAATAATAATAATAATAATAATAATAATAATAATAATAATAATAACAATAATAATAATAATAATAAAACATAAATATTAAATAAAAAATATAATAATAATAATATAATAATAATAATAATAATAATAATAATAATAATAATAATAATAATATTCATAAAGGACCATAAATAAATACAAAAATATCAACAGTGAGAAACGATATTCTGTATATATGTTGTGTTATCAGTCAGAGAAACAATTGAAACCTTGCAATTGTGTAAAAGGCAGAAAGTCAGATCAGCATCATGGAACCTGGTCACAATTTTTGTGATGCCATATGGCAGCAGGGTCTACCATTAGACAATGCATTATGCTTCCAATATTTGTCTCCCTGTTTGATAGCTGCCTACTACCTACTACAGTACCTGGAATATGATGAGGAAGAAACACTTTGTATGTTCAGATAGTCTTTATGAAAAGTGTTATTGGTGATGTCGAGAACTTACGCTGGTGACACAGCAAAATCTGTTGACTGCAGAAGACAGAGGAAAGCAGATGGTGATCAGCAATGTCAAACTGTGAATGGATGGAGAAGGTGGAGGAAATATGAGGTCTGGGCTATCTCGAAGTAGAGAATCTCATGAAGTAGGACACCTCAGGGGATGAAACTTCATATAATTTCAATGATTATCTGACGTAGTTCTGGATAATTTTAACGTACTGTTTTAAAAGTTTGTGCCAATTATTATCTTACTGTAACGGAATGAAAGATTACATAATGCAGCAATCATTTTTTCTCTTGAAAAAAATCACATCCTGCATTATTTCCTGAGGCTGATGACAACTAACCTTTTCTAACCTTTTCGTAAAAAAAATATATATATATCCAGTGGTTATTCGTATATTCTATATAAGAGGACTAACAGTCTCCGTCCAGCTCATAAACAGATTAATGAAGAATAATAAATATTGTATGGTCATGCTTTTGTAGACCTATAAGTATCGTTAAAAATATCTAAGGAATCGTCACTTAATTTTTGCTAGTCACATGTAAAATGCATTTCTCTATTGAAAGTAATTTTTTTTTTCATAATGAACATCTACTTATTAACTTGTAATAAGGCTACTTAGAGTTGTTAAATTCCTTTCCGGCTCTACAGTATATCTACATTTTAGGGGGGCACAGAAACTTAATCCATAACATGTTTTCTGTGTACTGCCGCACTGTTCCTGACGTTCTCCAGGATAATTTACTTTGTTTTTATATCCTTATAATTATTCTTTGAATTTGAATTTCTTCATCAAGGTTTGCCATGTGATGCTTAGAGATAAAAGAAAATGGACAGCTTACCATTTTCTTTGATAACAAGGGTGCCACGTCAAAATCAATAGAGCTTTTTAAAATATCGTTGCATATTTAATGATAACAAGTATATTATAGTTACCTTGTAATATTTCCATGATTTTCCAACAACTTCTATGTAAAAACAGAGTAGTATAAAGAGAATCTGGAAGAATAAGATGAGGTTGGCAGGCGTGCGCCAATGTTTGTGTGCTCGCGCGTCTACCCGGCATCCCACCACTAAGACAGCTCAATGTTTTTGTTTATTTAGGTAAGTATTTCACCATTTTGAGTCTTCATTGTTGTGCATGAGGGTGCCGCATACGCTATAGATGTGACTAAGTGAAGGACGGGGCTGGGTGTGGCGGGAAAGGTAAGGATCGAAACGAGAGTAAAGGAAATATCTCGTTGGCGGGTGGCCGTGGGTGAGTGCGCGGCCTTCCCTCCTCAACGACCACCCGAGACTTCTCTTTCTTCATCCTCTATAACTCTCTGTCTCTCTGATGTCATTAGATCATCTGGGCAGTATGAGCCGAGATAAAAGCCTACTAGCGCCAGAACAATGAACAACATATGGGAATTTGGCATTGTTTAGAACTGGATAAATTTGCCATAGGACGGTGCCGAAGGATGAGGCAAGTCACATGTGCTGAATTGGTACATTAACTGTGGCATATGTATGTAGGTTTATATATAATTATTTATCGCACCAATGTAGGAAAAAAGGAAGTTACAGCATTATAGACACCATTTTAATGTAATTTGATTAAGGAGTTCTGATGATGCTCACATATACTCTATTTATGTGGTAATGCTAGCATTTTAAGGCTGTTATGGGGGCATTGTTTCATAGTAATTGATTTTTATTGATTACCGTTATACTATAAATTATGGCACTTCGGGTAAGCGCATTAAATGGTCATGTTAAGAAAAATATTATAATATATATATATATATATATATATATATATATATATATATATATATATATATATATATATATATATATATATATATATTCCTTTTGTGCCATAATTACTATAATTTCTGTTTTTTGTTTTGAAGGGAAAGTTTGAGCATACAAGGTATGATCATCATCAGGTAATAATGTTAAATTATCTTCTCAACTAATAAGTTGATGGGAAATCTTCTGGTTGAAGTATCATAGATTAATGCCTGAATAAAAGATTTTTTGAATTTTTTCAAAGTATTAATTGTACAGTAAATGTAAATCCAGTTTAGAAGTAAGGCAAATATGTATTTTTTATTTATTTATTTATGTTTTTTTAAAGCAGAAATGAGTACCCTGCACTGTAGGTTTCCACACCTTCAGCATAATGGGAAAATTGACAGAACTGCTATTTAATTGGCAGTGGCTAAAGAGCTAGTCACGGCAATTTGGGCTACAGTATTTTGCCAGTTCTTTGTTTATGTCGTAGAAGTAATGATATAATTGTATTTATTGTATTATCATGTATTACTAATTGCTATAAACGACCAAACTTACCGAACTTCTTAACCAACCAAACCTACCTAACTTCCTAACCAACCACACTTTACTAACTTCCTAACCAACCACACTTACCTAACTTCCTAACCAACCACACTTACCTAACTTCCTAACCAACCACACTTACCTAACTCCAACCAACCACACTTCACCTAACTTCCTAACCAACCAAACCTACCTAACTTCCTAACCAACCACACTTACCTAACTTCCTAACCAACCAAACCCACCTAACTTCCTAACCAACCAAACTTCCCCATCTCACCAAACCCACCTAACTTCCTAACCAACCAAAACCTACTTACTTCCTAACCAACCAAACTTACCAAACTTCCATTCTACCAAACCTACCTAACTCCCAACCAACCACACTTACCTAACTTCCTAACCAACCAAACCTACCTAACTTCCTAACCAACCAAACCTACCAAACTTCCTATTCCCACCAAACCTACCTAACTTCCAAACCTACCTAACTTCCTAACCAACCACACTTACCTAACTTCCTATTCACCAAACCCACCTAACTTCCAAACCTACCAAACTTACCTAACTTCCATTCTACCAAACCTACCTAATCTCCAAACCTACCTAACTCCAAACCCACCAACTTCCTATTCTACCAAACTTACCTAACTTCCTATTCTACCAAACCTACCTAACTTCCAAAACCTACCTAACTTCCTATTCCACCAAACCTACCTAACTCCTATATTCTACCAAACTTACCTAACTTCCTATTCACCAAACTTACCTAACTTCCATTCCACCAAACCCACCTAACTCCAAACCCACCTAACTTCCTATTCTCACCAAACCCACCTAACTCCTATTCTACCAAACTTACCTAACTCCTATTCCACCAAACTTACCAAACTCCCATTCTACCAAACCCACCTAACTCCCAACCAACCACACTTACCTAACTTCCTAACCAACCAAACCTACCTAACTTCCAACTAACCAAACTTACCAACCTCCTATTCTACCAAAGCTACCTAACTCCAAACCCACCTAACTTCCTAACCAACCACACTTACCTAACTCCCATTCTACCAAACCTACCTAACTTCCAAACCTACCAAACTTACCTAACTTCCTATTCTACCAAACCCACCTAACCCAAACCTACCTAACTCCAAACCCACCTAACTCTATTCTACCAAACTTACCTAACTCCTATTCTACCAAACCTACCTAACTCCAAACCCACCAACTTACCTAACTTCCTATTCTACCAAACCTACTAACTTCCAAACCTACCTAACTTCCAAACCCACCTAACTTCCTATTCTACCAAACTTACCTAACTTCCTATTCTACCAAACCCACCTAACTTCCAAACCCACAAACTTACCTAACTCCTATTCTACCAAACCTACCAACCTCCAAACCACCAACTCCAAAACCTACCAACTTCCAAAAACCTACCTAACTTCCTTACCAACCAAACTTTTTTATTTTTGTTTATTTTTATTTTTTATTTATTTATTTTATATATATATATATATATATATATATATATATATATATATATATATATATATATATATATATATATATATATATATATATATTTCATAATATATATTATACTGTCAATATATATATATATAGAATATATCAATATATAATATATATTATATATATTTTTTTTTTGCCTTGCTGATTTATATATATATATATATATATATATATATATATATATATATATATATATATATATATATATTTTTTTTTATGGGATTAGCCCACCCGGGCACAGGTCACTGATCCACATTGTGGCCTGGGGGGCGAAAATGTAACTATAATAATAATTAGTTCATGGTAAATAAAATTTATAATAAAAACTATAAAACTAAAAAAAAAAATAACAACAACACTAATAATAATAATAATAATAATAAAGAACCATAAAGAAATACAAAAATGAAAAAAAAAGATCAATAGTGAGAAACAATCTATATATACAGTCAACCCTCACTTTACTCGGTTAATACAACCTACAGGGTACCGCGGAAAGTGAGAAACGCGTAAAGTGAACAACATAACATATGGGATTAATTAAAATAGAGACCGAGACGACCCCCAAACTCCACTTTTTGACGACACACAACTATGTTGTAGTGAAAATTTTATCTTAACTTTATGATGATATGCACACACAATTAATATAGAAGAGGTTAGGTTAGGAAAAATAAAGGTTAAGTTAGGAAAAATAAAGGTTAGGTTAGGAAAACTAAAGGTTGGGTGTAACACTTATGTCAGTAGAAGAGATGGGTCGGCATACGGGGATGGAGGCTGGTTCCGAGGCAGAGGGCAGGCTACTGGCCCTCAGGTGAGTCACCATCACTGTCATCCACGGTTGTCAGGGCCTCCCTGACAAATCCCTCAAAGTCATCTTCACTGTCTCTACCTCTGTCACTATCACTGGCTTGGGCTGGCTGTGGTGGGTTGCGGGCGAAGAACTCTGTTATGCTTTGCTGACGGCTGGTGTTTATGTTGTCTTGATAAACCTTGAAGTAGGGCTCCATAGTCTGCAACAGCTGGGTCGTGAAGATTTCATACCTGTTTACGTCAGGGTCGTCGGAAAGGAGGAACTTGACTTTCTCGATACACTCGATGGCACCCCTAACATTACTATGGGATAAGCGGTGTTCTTCTTGGGATGACGCACCACCTGCCTCTTCACTGACGTCATCATCATCTACCATCTCGTCGGTAGTCACATCAGGATCCCTTATTACCTCCAGGATGTCGTCGTTGGTGGTCTCGGAGAAGCCTGCAGCTGTAACACTCTGCGCAGCTTCTCTGGCAAGGTACACTGCTATTGCAACAGTCTGAACCTCACCAGTCACAGATTGACTCTGCCTAACGGCCGGAATGCCTTGCAACACATGTCTCCATGCGTGACGAACAGTTGCTACAGACAGCTGATCCCATGCCTCCACCAAGAAGTCCACAGCTTTCTTGATGTTGAATATTCTCCAGAATTGTTTTAAAAGTACTTGTTGCTCTGCCAACTGTTGATCCTCGTCGTCTTCACTCTTGCTATCGGTGGTGGTGTCACTCATGTTACGCAACTCTTCCCTGGTGTTGGTGTAGTCGTTCAGGAGCTTGAATTTTTTAGTAGAGAATGCAGCTTTTACATTACAGATTAACTCTTGGTCCATGGGCTGTAATATAGACGTAGTGTTGGGAGGAAGGAAGACCACTTTTACGTTGGGGTGACGATCTAACAGTAGGGGCGAGTGTCCTGGTGCGTTGTCCAGCAGCAACAAAATCTTGAATGGCACATTCTGTTGCTCACAGAATTTCTTTACATCGGGAACGAAACAGTCATCAAACCAGGAGAGGGACAGTGTAGAGAACATCCACGCCTTACGTGCGGTCAGCCAGTGGAAATTTAGCTTGGTCATGTCCATGCTCTTGTAGGCTTGCGGCTTGCGTGCTGTGTGGATCACCGATAACGTGAGCTTACAGGTACCGGAGGCATTGGCGGTAAACAGGACGGTGATGAGCTCCTTCTGCAACTTCCGGCCCCGAATCTTGCTGGCATTCTTCACAACGAAGGTCTTGGAAGGTAGCTTTTTCCACAAAAGACCAGATTCGTCCATGTTAAACACCTGGTCATCGGTGTACTGTCCTTCCTCCATAATCTCACCTAAAAACGGAGGAATTTCCCGCGCCGCAACACGGTCAGCACTAGCTTCTTCACCACCAATGTTGATATTGGTGATCTTGTTCCTCATCTTAAACCT